AAGAGTAAGGGGTCTTATTAATTCCCTCCTTGACTATTCCAATGCCCTCCTCGCTGGTCTCCCCAGCTCCACTACCCAGAAACTACAACTGATTCTGAAATCCTCCGCCCATATTCTCACCTGTACCAAATTCCATTTTCCCATCACCCTAGTTCTATCCACGCTCCACTCCCTATCACAGAACGATCGATTTCAAGGTTTTCACGCTTCTCGACAACTCCCTTCACGCCCTGGCACCTCCCTACCTCGCCAACCTGCTTACTTCCCACTCCACGAACCGCTTCCACTTAGCCGGCTCCATCCTCCATGCTCAACTCTCGTCCTCTCTCCGCTCCACTGTGGGCAGAAGCACTTTCAGCCCCTACGCCCTGAAGTTTTGGAACTCGCTCCCATAATCCATCTGAGTTGCTCTCTATTCTAACCCCATTCCCCTGCTCTCTCCCGATGTATCTGTCCTGGTGCTCGCTCCCCCCACTGGAGCTCTCTACTCTAACCCCATTCCCCTGCTCTCTTTCCCCATCATGTCTATGCATTGGGGAGGAGAAGGAGAAGGGGTATGCACTCTCCCGGTTTCCTGGCCGACAATCCCTCACGGAAAATCACGTCACACGGATATTGCTGTTTGCGAAAATAGCCCCGCGATTTCCAACAAGAATCACTGTGTTGGTCGGACGCCGTGTTGTCCTGAGTACATCGCTGGCCGGGTGATGTGTCCACATTTCTCCATAGGAGGGCAATGTTGGAGCGGAGAGCAGTGAGGCTGATCCCAGTGTTAGAGACAGAGGAGAGCAGTGAGGCTGAGCCCAGTGTTAGAGACAGAGGAGAACAGCGAGGCTGATCCCGGTGTTAGACACAGAGGAGGGAAGCAAGGCTGATCCCAGTGTTAGTGACAGAAGAAAGAAGGATCGCTGATCACAGAGTTAGAGAAAGAGGCAAGCAGCGAGGCTAATAGTGTTAAGAGACAAAAGCAAGCAGCGAAGCCCATCCCAGGGTTAGAAGCAGAGAAGAGCATTAGGCTGATCCCAGTGTTAGAGACAGAGGAGAGCAGTGAGGGTGATCCCGGCGTTACAGACAGAAGCGAGTAGCGAGGCTGATCCCAGTGTTTTGGGACAGAGGAGAGGAGTAAGACTGAAAATAATGTTAGAGACAGAGGAGAGCAGCGAGCTGATCTCAGTTCAGGGACAACAAATTTACATTTATAGAACACTTTTCACATCGGGAGGACGTCCCAATGCACTGAAGAAGGACAAAAAGAGGCGCTGAAGAAGACAGAAGAAAGCAGTGAGGCTGCTCTCCGCATTAAAGACAGAGAGCAGCTAGGCTGATCGCTGTGATAGAAACAGCGGAGAGCAACACTGATCACAGCATTAGAGAAAGAGGCGAGCAGCGAGGCTGATAATAGTGTTAGAGACAGAGGAGAGCAGCGAGGCTGATCCCAGCATCAGTGTCAGAGACGGAGGAGAGTAGCAAAGCTAATCAACAACAACAACATCAAAATGACATTTATAGAGCGCCTTTCACATCGGGAGGACTTCCCAAAGCGCTGAACAGTCAGGTGTCGGGGCTGAAGCATGGGTGAGGAGTGGTGTAGAGGTGAGGGAAGGCAGAGAGGTAGGAGGGAGACCAAAGGCACGGTCGAGGAGAAGAGTCTTGAGACCGGCCTTGAAGGATGCGAGGGAGGAAGCGAGGTGGAGGGACCTTGGTATGGAGTTCCAGGGTGTGGAGGCAGAGAGGCTGAAAGCCCGGCCACCAATGGTAGGGCGGGTCGGGCGGGAGACATGGAGCAGGCCGGAGCCTGATGAACGGAGGGAGTGGGCAGGTTGGTAGGGAGTCAGCAGGTCAGAGAGGTAGGAGGGGGCAAGACCATGGATGGCCTTGAAGGTGAAGACGAGGATCTTGAACTCGATCCTCTGGGGGATGGAGAGCCAGTGGAGTCGGGCGAGGATGGAAGTGATGGGGTCACGGAGCCTGGTGCGTGAGAGTACACGAGCTGCAGAGTTTTGGATGATCTGCAGTTTGTAAAGGGAAGAGTTGGGAAGGCCGATGAAGAGGGAGTTCCCGTAATCAAGTCTTGAGGTGACGAATGCGTAGGTGAGGGTTTCGGCAGCCCGAGGGGTAAGGCAGTGGCGGAGTCTGGCAATGTTGCAGAGGTGGTGTTAGGTAGTGCTGGTCATGGCACAGATGTGGGGAGAAAAATCCCAGTATTAGAGACAGAAGATGGAAACAAAGCTGATCTGTGTTAAGAAACATAGAGCAGTGAGGCTAATCACAGTGTTGGGAGACAGCAGAAAGCAGCGACGCTGCTTCCAGTTTTAGAGACAGACGAGAGCAGCAAGAGACTCCAGCACCTGGTTCCCATAATCCTGGTGGAGAAGTTGCTTTTCCTGAAATTCCAGACCCTCAGACCGCAGTATGGACTCCCCTCCACTCACACACCCTGCCCACGCCCACACAGCCCACCCCCCCCACACGCTGCACCCCCCCCACACACTGCCTCCCCCACTCACAGCCCGACCCACTCCTCCACACACCCCGACCTCCCCTCCGCATAGACACACACACACATATCCACCCTGCTCCCCACCCCCACACGCTCCCCCTACACACCCAGCCATTCCCACACCGCACCTGCCACACCCCCACACACACTTGCTCCCTGTGTATCATTGTATGTTTATGCATGCGTCAGTCTGTGTATGCGTCAGTGTCAATGTGTGTGTCAGTACGTATGTCAGTGAGAGTGTGTCAGTGCGTGTGTATCAGTGGGTGTATAAGTGTGCGTGTGCCACTGGTATGTGAGAGAATGCCAGTAACCATAGGCGCCAGATTCACAACAGATTCTATATGCTGAGATCACTCGACTCCATCTCTCGGTCAGACTTTGTTTTCGAAATAACCCCATTGATAATTTCCACTGGACGCCTTTGTCCCCCCGGTCTGTCTGTCTCTGTCTGTCTCACTGTGTGAGCATGATCCACGGGGGGGGGGCGAGCAAGGATAGGCCATTGCCACGTATCCCGATACCCCGACCTAATAAATAAGCACAGACAGGGTGTGAGGTTAAACGTCTCATCTGAAGGACGGAGTCTCCGACAATGTGGTGCTCTCTCCCTCTCCCCATTGCTGTTCTGGAGCGTCAACCTGGACTGTGAGCTCTCCAACATAGGAGGCGGAGCTGCTCTGCACATTCCTGCCCCCACCAGCTGGGAGAATAATGGTGCAGAAGACCTTTGTACAAAGCTCATAGGTTTATTGAAAAGTGTTTATAAAAAGTTGAGAGACGCAACTGACATTTTCAAGTATAAAGGAACCAACCAGGAAGGTTGTGGTCAGACTGGCTCCTGCGCTCTGTAACATGCAAACCCCTAACAGAGTAAAAAACATCTTATCTTACAATATGTAAAAATAAATAAGTTTCTCATCTTCCCCCCCCCCCCCCCCACCAACCCCTCCCCCCCCTTTAATGACTACATTGTTATATAAACATACACAATATCTAGTGGATCCACCTTGCTAGCTCGCTTGCAAATCACTCCCAGAACACACGCCTCCCCCCACCCCCCTCCCCATATGAAATTCACCCCAATCTCAGCCCGGACACCGGCCATTTCAGACTGGGATGTGTGTGTGTGTGTGTCCGCCTGGAGCTCAGGAATAATCCTGGACAATGAGCACGTCATAAACATCATGAGGAAACAGTCTTGAGTGGTGGAGGGGGTGCGTGGGGGGGTGGGGGGCACAGCGTGAGTGAGACCCCTGCCTAACCCACCCCAAACCCTAATTCACGCTGTGCTCTCCTCTCCACCGCTACCCCCGACACTCCCCGGGGAGTGGGCACCGCCAAGTGAGGAACAGGTGTGGTGGTTGGGGAGTGGGTGGCACCGGGCAAGGCCAGTGGGGGAGTGAGCGGGGTTGGGGAGGCGCCAATGGGGGGCGGGTGGAGCTGGGAGGTGGCAGTAGGGAGTGGGTGGGGCTGTCTCAAAACTTCAGGTTATTTATGTACACAGTTTGAGATGCTCAGAGAGGAGGGAACAGCCTTAGAGTGACCCCCAGCCAGGGTTTAGTTACGGGGGTAACTGCTGTCCTCAGGGGTATTACTCCCCCCTCCAGAGCTCTCTACTCTAATCCCATTCCCTGCTCTCCCCCGTCATGTCTGTGCTGGTTCCTGTGTGTGGTTGGGTGCGGAGGGGCACTGGATGAAGTGCCCTGTTTGGGGGGCTATGTACGGGGAGGGGGCTGTGTGTGTGGGGGGGGCTGTGCGTGTATGTGTGGGGGGGGGGCTGTGTCTGTGTGGGGGCTGTGTGCGTGTATGTGTGGGGGGGGCTGTGTGTGTGTGGGGGGCTGAGTGCGTGTATGTGTGGGGGGGGTGCTGTGTGTGTGGGGGGGGGCTGTGTGTGTGTATGTGTGTGGGGGGCTGTGTGTGTGTATGTGTGTGTGGGGCTGTGTGTGTGTGGGGGGCTGTGTGTGTGTATGTGTGTGTGGGGCTGTGTGCGTGTATGTGTGGGGGGGGGGTGCTGTGTGTGTGTATGTGTGTGTGGGGCTGTGTGTGTGGGGGGGGTTGTGTGTGTATGTGTGGGGCTGTGTGTGTGTGTGTGTGGGGGGGGCTGTGTGTGTGTGTGTGTGTGGGGGGGGGGGGGGGGCTGTGTGTGTGTGTGCGTGAGGGGGGGGGGGGCTGTGTGTGTGTGTGTGTGTGTGTGGGGGGGCTGTGTGTGTGTGTGTGTGTGTGGGGGGGCTGTGTGTGTGTGTGTGTGGGGCTGTGTGTGTGTGTGTGGGGGCTGTGTGTGTGTGGGGCTGTGTGTGGGGGGGGGGCTGTGTGTGTGGGGGGGGCTGTGTGGGGCTGTGTGTGTGTGTGTGTGGGGGGGGGCTGTGTGTGTGTGGGGGGGGGGCTGTGTGGGGCTGTGTGTGTGTGTGTGGGGGGGGGGGGGGCTGTGTGGGGCTGTGTGTGTGTGTGTGGGGGGGGGGCTGTGTGTGTGTGTGGGGGGGGGGGGGGGGCTGTGTGGGGCTGTGTGTGTGTGTGTGGCTGTGTGTGTGTGTGTGAGGGGTGGGGACGGGTATGTATGTATGGTTGTGGGGTCGGGCCCCTCTGGCTGACCTGTGCGACACCAAACCCGGGGGGCGAGCAGTCAGGCGAGGCCGAGGCCGGAGCTGAGTGCTATCAGACCGGCTCCCCGGCAGAGAGCAGCGGGGGAGGCCGGCTGCTGGGGTCGAAGGGGGAGGCGGCGGGAGAGCGTGCGGCAAGCGGGGAGAGCGAGGGTGAGAAGCTGGGCGACATGGCGGCCGAGGCCGAGGCCCGGCCGGGGAGCGGGGAGCGGGGGCCGAGGCCGGGGAGCGGGTGAGGCCTGAGGCCCGGGTGCAGGAGCAGGGCGGCCGGGGCCGGGCGCGGCGGCACCGACATCGCGTTGGGGTGGGCGACGGCAGTGATGAGCGGCGGCGGGTCGATGCGGGGCTCCGGCGGGGGTTTGGAGCCTCGGGCCCGGGGGCCGCTCTCGTCCTTGAGTCGCGCAATCTCGGTGAAGACCGAGGCCAGAGGCTGGAAGCGCGGGCTCCAGTCCAGCAGGTAATCCCAGCTGTAGCTGCCCCGCAGCTCCTCGTCGCTCGCCACGATGGCCGTAAGCGAGCCCGCGGCTTCGGGCCTACCGTCCAGGGTGAAGCCGGGGTCTCCAGCCCGGGCCGTGCCCGCCTCCCTGAAGCCGAGCAGCGGCACGGGGCCCGGAGCGAGGCCGAGGCCCTTGCGGTGCCGGCACCAGTCGGAGGCGGCCTCGGTCGAGGTGTCGGACAGGCGGTCGGCGTCCTGCTGGATGCCCGAGTCGGGGCCGCGGGTGCCCGGGTGGCCGTGAGGCGAGGCCGAGGAGGCGCTGGCCGCCCGCGGGTGCTCGTTGATCATCCGGATCTCGTCGTCGTCCTCCTCGGCAGCCGCGTCCGCCGAGCCGCGGCCGCTCGAGTGCGACGGGTCGATGGAGCCGCCGCGGGTGTAGGTGGTGACGGGCGGCGGCGGCTCGGGGTAGCCGGGCAGCGCCTGGTGGTACAGCCGCTCGGGTGGCGGCGGCGGCGGCTGCTGCTGCTGAGAGGCGAGGCCCGCTTTCGGGCCGACCTTCCTCAGCGTCTCCTCATCCTCGGCCTGGCCCGCCCGCTTCTCCCCCGGCGGCAGCTCCCGGCGCCGCCGAGCCCGCAGCACCACCAGCGCAAGCCCCAGGGCGGCCAGGATCCCGCCGCCGCCCAGCGAGGCCGCCAGCGCCGCCACCATCAGCAGCCGCCCGGCCCCGGGCCTCGCCTCGGGCTCCAGCCCGAAGGTGGTCTGCGTCACGTCCACGGTGGCCAGGGACGAGGCGGAGCGGGAGCCGGGGAGCGGCCCGCGGGCCTGGATATTCAGCGTCATGCTTCGGGCCTGCTCTGGGGGTTGAGGCTCGGCCTCCGCGTCCTCCCGGGGCCTCGGGCCACTGTCAACCCGCAGCAGCAGCTCCCCCGTGGCCTGGTCCACTCGGAAGTACGGCGAGGCCTCGGCCAGCGAGTAAACCAGCTGCCCGTCCGCACCGCCGTCCTCGTCCGAGGCCTGGACCCGGCCTATGAGCTGCCCGCGCCGGGCCCCCGCCGGCACCGAGAAGCTGTAGGTCTCCTGGCCGAACACGGGCTGGTACTCGTCCTCCCCGGCCACCAGCACGCTCACCGTCATCGAGGCCGAGGCGTTGCCGGGGTCCCGGGCCCAGGCCAGCAGCCGGTAGGCTCCGAGCCTCTCGTAGTCCAGCGGCCGCAGCGTACGGAGCTCGCCCGTGCTGCTGTTGAGGTAGAAGGCGCCGAGGCCTGGGCCTAGGCCGGGGTCTGAGTCAGGCCCCAGCGCCATCCCGGGGCCTGGGCCTGGGCCCAGCCAGTAGTACAGTTGCCCGTACAGCCCGGCGTCCATGTCCAGTGCACGGAGCCGGGTGACCAGGGTGTGGGGAGGCTGGTTCTCGGGCACCGTGACGGTCAGGCGAGGCAGTGGGAAGAAAGGCAGGTTGTCATTGACATCTCCCACCTCCACGGTGAGGGGCACCAGAGCTGTGTGGCCGCCAGCATCACCGGGGCCCTTGGCACCAGGACCCTCGCCCTGGGCATCACTGGCCTCCAGGATGAGCACGTGGCGCGCCCGGCACTCCCGGTCCAGGGGCCGGGCCAGCCTGACCGCCCCACTGCCCGGCTCTACCACAAACAGCCCCCCCTCGTCCCCCGAGGTGATGGCGTAGCGCAGCGCACCCCCTTTGCCCGCCGTGTCGGCGTCCCGCGCCCACGGCCTGGCCACCTCGCTGCCCACCGGGGCCGCCTCGCTCAGTGCCGCCCGGTACCGGCTCCGCTCAAACACGGGCGGGTTGTCGTTGGTGTCCAGCACGGTGAGTAGGGCGGACACGGCGGCCCGGCGTGGAGGTACCCCTCGGTCCGTGGCCGACACAGTCAGGTTGTAGGAACGGACGGTCTCGAAGTCCAGCTTCTCGGTCAATACCAGCCAGGCCACCGCCACAGGGCGGCCGGCTGTCCCCGCCCGCACGCCGCTCGCGAGCTGGAAAGCGTTGCCAGTGTTGCCGCCAACAATGGCGTAGTCCAGCCCGGCGTTCTCCGGTGACCGGTCGCTGTCCATGGCCTCTAGGCTGAGCACGGTGGTGCCAGGCAGCAGGTCCTCCCGCACACGTGCGGTGTAGCCGGCCTGGCTGAACTCCGGTGCATGGTCGTTCACATCCGTCACCTGGATCTGCACCGTGGTGAAGGCCGAGAGTGCCGGAGAGCCACCGTCACAAGCCTCGATCACCACCTCCCGCACGACAGGATTGCTGCCAAACACCAGGCTCCCCTCTGTGAACAGTGTCCCTGCCAGAGACACGCACACCAGGTCAACACATACACGCAGCACATTAACACACACATAAGAACATTATTGCTAGATGAAAATAAGTCCAAGATCCATCTCGTTCGCCTTCTGACTTCCTCAGGGTCGCATGCACTTATGTCCTGAACTACCCATGTACCATATCCCATCATGTTATTTCCTAAAAGAAAACTTATCTAATCTGTGTTTGAAGGAATCAACACTTCCTGCTTCAACCATCTCCCTAGGGTGTCTGCTCCATAGGTTCACTAATGGCTCACTGAAATAGTGTTTCCGTAGATTTGTTCTAAATTTTCCCCCTTTCAATCGCAGGAGGTGACCTCTCTTCTGGATTAATTGAAACAGCCTGTCATGATCTATATTGCCTCGCCCCTTTGGAATCTTAAAAGACAGCAATCATATTGCCCCTCAATCTTTTTACCAGTGTGAACATGCTCAGTTTACTTAGTCGCTCCTCATAGTCCACTCCCTCCATTCCCTCTGGTTACCCTCCTCTGGATCATCTAGATTTCTACCATTTCTCTTTTGTACTGCAGTGACCAGACCTGTACACTACTCTAAGTATGGTCTCACTAATTATTTATACAGTGGCAGGACCACTCCAATATTTCATAGAATCAGAATTATACAGCAACAGAAGGAGGCCATTTGGCCCATTATGTCTGCCAGCTCTTTGAAAAGAGCTATCCAAATCAAACCCACGCCCCTGCACTCTCCCCATAGCCCTGCAAACTTGACCTCCCCAAATAATTATCTACTTCTCTCTTAAAACTTGTTATCGGATCGGTTTCCACCACCCTTTCAGGCAATGTATTCCAGATCCAAACAACTCGCTGTGCGAAAACATTTCTCTACTCCCCTGTTTCTTTTAACAATTATTTTAAATCGGTGCCCTTGAGTTACCAACCCACCCACCAGTGGAAATAGTTTCTCCTCGTTCATCCTATTGAATTCCCTCATAATTTTGAAAACTTCTATTAAGTCTCCTCTTGACCTTCACTGCTCCGAGAAGAATAATCCTAGCTTCTCTAGCCTCTCATAACTGAATTCCCAGGACCATCCTGGTTGATCTCATTTGCACCCTCGCGAATGCCTTGACATCCTTCCTAAAGTGTGGTGCTCAGAACTGAACACGGTCTCTAGCTGAAACCTAACCAGTGTTTTATAAAGGTTCACCATAACTTCCTGACTTTTTGAACGAGCCTCTGCTATTTCCACCCTTACTTTCCTCAGTAACCTAGGATACATCCCGTCCGGACTGGGTGACTTATCTACCTCGAGTCCCGTCAACCTTTTTAGTACCTCTCTGTTTATTCTTATCCTATACAATTTCTCTACCCTCTTCTAATACGGTGACATTGGCTGCATCCTCTTCTTTTGTGAAGACAGATGCAAAGTACTCATTCAGTACATCAGCCATGTCCTCTGCCTCCACAAGATTTCCTCTTCGGTCCCTAATTGGCCCCATCCTACCTTTGACTACCCTTTTCTTTGTGTGCCTATAAAATATTTTAGGGTTCCCTTTTATGTTACCTGCTAATCTTTTCTCAATCTCTTTGCCCCTCTTTCCTTTTGCTGTTTTATTTTAATCCTAATTTTCTTAGTCATCCAGGGAGGTTTGGTTGCCCTACTTTTCCCTTTGTGGGAATGTGTTGGGGTTAGGGTTCCCAAACTATAGCCTCCTTGAAGGCTTCCCATTGCTCGTTAGCTGTTTTACCGTCAATCTTGCTTTCCAGTCCATCTTGGCTAGGTCCCTTTTTAACTCACTGAAACTAGCCCTCTTCCAGTTGAGCATCTTCACCTTTGATTGCTCCTTGTCCCCTTCCATAAGTACTCTAAACCTAATGATGTTTGATCACTGTTGTCCAGATGTTCTCCTACTAAAACCTGCTTGACTTGCCCCACTTTATTCCCCAGAATTAGATCCAGCACTGCTTCCTTCCTTGTTGGGCTGGAAACACACTGATCCAGAAAGTTATCCTGCACACATTTCAGGAATCCTTCACCCTCCTTGCCCTTTATACTGTTATTTTACCCGTCCATGTTAGAATAGTTGAATCCCCCATTATCACTACTCTTGGTTTTGCATCTTTATGAAATTTGCTGCAGATTTACTCGTCTATCTCCTTCCCACTATTTGGTGGTCTATAGTTTACACCTAACAGAGTAACTAACAGCTCCTTTTCTGCTCCTTAACTCTAACCAAATAGATACTGTCTTCGGACCCTCTAGCACATCGTCCCTTTCCAGGGCCATAACCGTGTCTTAAATCAATATTGCCACCCCCCCCCCCCCCCACCCTTTTTTCCTTTCCCTAACCCTCCTGAATACATTGTAGCCAGGAATATTCAGCTCCCATTCCTGGCCTTGTTTGAGTCAGGTCTCCATTATTACCACTATATCATAACCCCATGTGGCAACTTGAGCCTGCAGCTCACCAATCTTATTCATCACACTCCATGCATTTATGCACGTGCACTCCAAGACCGACTTAGTCTGCTCTGTATTTCTCCCCTATCTAATCCCTCCTTTTTCTGGACTTCTCTTTATTGCATTGTTTTTCGTCTCTCCCAGTCCCCTGTAACTTGTTTCTCTTTGATGCTACATCCTGATTCCCTTCCCCCCTCAACATTAGTGTAAACCTTCCCCACAACACTAGTTAACCTCCCTGCTAGGTTATTTCGGCTGCTATTGATCTTTTGATATTTCCCAACATCTGGTTTGCTTTAGTCACTGCCACAGAGCATTGTTGCGAGAGCTTCATTTATTGTCAATCAGGACCCCCAGGTCCTTTTCATTTTCTATACATATTATTCCTTCTGTTCAAATAATAGTCCCTTCCTGGATTTTTTGTCCCCATGTGAAGTAATTTACATTTCTCCACATTGAATTTCATCGGCCACTGGGTCTGCCCAATTCCCAAATATCAGCTTTGCAATCTACCACCTTCATTAGTTTGGTAGATTTCATTAACAGCACGTTAAAACACACAGCATGTCAACACACACACAACAAATTACATTTACACAGCACCTTTCACACCTGGAAGATTTCCGAAGAAGCCGGACAGTCAGGGATTTGGACCTGAGCTGGGAGTTGGGATCGGGAGGTTGAGGACAGTGAGGATGGGGAGCACAAGGTTGGCTGACGGTGCGGTCGAAGAGGAGGGTCTTGAGACGTGCCTTGAAGGTGGCAAGAGAGAGGGCGAGGCAAAGGGACTGTGGGATGGAGTTCCAAAGGGTGGGGGCAGAGAGGCTGAAGGCTCAACCACCGATGCTGGGGCCAGGCGGGGGACGTGGAACGGGCAGCTGAGCAGACGGAGTGGACAGATTGATATCAGGGCAGATCACAGAGGTAGGGAGGGCTAAGGCCTTGGAGGGCTTTGAAAGCGAGGACGAAGATGTTGAACTCTTCTGGCAGATGGAGAGCCAGTGGAACCAGGCGATGGTGGGGGTGATAGGGTCACGGAGCCTGATCGGGAGAAGACATGAGCTGCAGAGTTCTGGATCTACAGCTTGTGGAAGGAAGAGTTGTTTCCAACTCTTGACGGGTCATTGCACGCAGCATTTTAACACACACAGCACGTTAACTCATACTCACACAGCATGTTAACACATACACCCACACAGCATGTTAACACACACCCACACAGCGTGTTAACACACACACATTAACACAGCACATTAACACACACAATACGTTACCACAGACAGACAGAAAAACAGAAGGATGGAGACAGAACACAGACAGAGAGAGACGCATACAGATGGAGAATGTTCATTGGTTTCTCACCATTATGGGGGTCGATGGAGAAGCCATCAGCACTCGCAGCCATCAACCGGTAAGTAATCTTGCCATTGTTCCCGGAATCTCTGTCTGTGGCAGTGACAGTGACGACAACTGTGTCGGACACAGTGTTCTCTGGTAACATCACCTGGGCACAGAGTGAGAGTTATACCAACACACACCGGGAGTGAGACAATAAACACACGCACGATATACACACACTGGATACTTGCTCCCCCACTGGAGCTCGCCAATCCCATTACCTGCTCTCTCCCCATCATGTCTGTGCTGGTGCTCGCTTCTCCACTGGAGCTCTGCAATCCCATTCCCTGCTCTCTCTCCATCGTGTCTGTGCTGGTGATCAGTCACATACTGGAGCTCTCTAATCCCATTCCCTGCTCTCTCCCCTTCGTGCCTGTGCTGGTGCTCAGTCCCCGACTGGAGCACTCTACTCTAATCCCATTCCCTACTCTCCCCTTTGTGTCTTTGCTGGGGCTCACTTCCCCACTGGAGCTCTATAATCCGATTCCCTGCTCTCCCCATCATGTCTGTGCGGGTGTCAGCTCCCCCATTGGAGTGCTTGCTGTTGGAGCCATAGGGTGTGGTGTGTGACAGCTGTGGTGGGGGTGTGAGAGGGTCTGACCTGGTACAGGTCCCTGACGAAGGAGGGTGGGTTGTCGTTGATGTCCTGCACCAGGATGGTCAGGTTGGCTTGGCTGCTGTGTAGGGAGTCGGAGGAGCGGATGGTGAGGAGGTAGGCACTGCGGCGCTCGAAGTCCAGGGGACGGCGAAGGGAGATGCCACCCCGGTACTGCTCCACGCTGAAGACCTCAACATCACCCAACAGCTCGTAGGCCAGCCCCGGCCCCGAGTCCACATCGTTCCCCGTCACACGTGTGATCTCCGTCCCTACCTGTAGGTCTGTGAGCAGCCACACAATCACTGAACTGTACAGTCACTACACCTCAGCCACTCACAGTCACTACACACTGCACAGTCACACCTCAGCCATTCACATTCACTACACCTCAGCCACTCTCAGTCACGACACACTGCACAGTCACTTCGCCTCAGCTACTCAGTCACAATAACTCAGCCACTCAAACACTGCACCTCAGCTACTCACAGTAACAGCACACCCCGGCTCCACCCACTAAGTCACGTGCACCCCCCACCCACTCACAGTCACTACACCACCTGCCCCCACAGTCAGAAATAATGAAGTCAATGAGTGTGAGTGAGTGAATATGGAGTGAGGGAGAGAGTGCAGAGGAATCGAATGGGGAGGGAGGGAATGGGGAGGGAAGAAGTGGGGTGAGGGAGTGTGGTGGGCGTATGGAGGGTGGATTGAAATAGTGACTTACCCTCAGGCACACGGATCTCTCGGGGGAGAGGGATGGTGGGGCTGTTATCATTGAGATCGAGAATGACCACTGTCAGGGTGGCTGTGCCCACCATCCGAGGGGAACCCCGATCTGTTGCCGTCAGCTTCAATCTGTGGAGGGGGGAATAGTTGTCAGTGTGTGGTAGAGTGTGGGTGTCGAAGGGTGACCTAAGGTGCGATCGAAGAGGATGGTCTTGGGAACAGGCCTTGAAGGAGGCAAGGGAGCCAGCAAGATGAAGGGACTGTGGATGGAGTTCCAAAGGGTGAGAGCAGAGAGGCAGAAAGCCCGACCACCAATGAAAGCCAGGTGGGGGATGTGGAGCAGGCACCAGAGCCTGCTGAGCAAAGGGAGAGGACATGTTGATATAGGATTAGCAGGTCACAAGTAGGAAGGAGCAAGGCTGTGGAGGGCCTTGAAGGTGAAGATGAGTATTTTGAACTCTATCCTCTGGGGGATGGGGAGCCAGTTGATCTGGTCGACGGTGGGGTTGATGCAAGAGAGAACACGAGCTGCAGAGTTCTGGATGATCTGCAGCTTGTGGAGGGAAGAGTTGGGAAGGCAGAAAAGCAGGGAGTTGGCATAGTTAAGCCTAGATGTAATAAATGCATGAATGAGGGGTGACGCGGCGGCGGAGCCGGATGATGTTGTGGAGGTGGGGGAAGGCAGAGCAGGTCATGGCACGGAGATGGGATCGAAAGGACAGTCGAGGGTCAAACAATGCCAAGGTTCTGGACTGGCTCAATGAGGCGGAGTGTGCATCCATGGATGGCGATGCTGCCAGTGGATGAGATATGGAGGTGCTGATGGGAGCCAATTAGTTTTTGGAAACCTTGGTCTTGTTGATCTTCAACTCGAAAAAGTTAGCTCTCATCCAAGACTTGATGTCTGACAGACATTCTGTTAGGACATCAGTGGTCCTGGAGTCAAGGGTGGAGGCAGAGAAATTGGAAAGCAACAACTTGTTCCAGGACCTTGGAAAGGAAAGTTCGAGGTGGCATGGTGGTTGGAGAGCAGGGATGGGTCCAGGGAAGGGTTTTTCAGGATAAGGGTGATGACAGCTGTTTTTTAAGGGGGTGAGTGCGATACCAGTGGATAAGGTTGATGATGTCTGAGTAGAAGAACAAGGAGGTAAGGAGAGGGGAAGGGATGGGGTTGAGGGAGCAGGTGATGGGCTTCACTTTGGTCATGATGGTGGTGAGAGAGGAATGGGAAACAAGTTTGAAGGTGTGGAGGAAGGGATGGGTAGGGGCTGGTGTGTGAGGGAGAGGTGGGGAGTGGTAGCAGTTGGAAGGTCAGAGGCGGCTGAGCAGATCCCCTCAATTTTGGTCTCGAGGAATTCCAGCATCTCCTTGGAGTTGGAGTTGGAGTTGGAGGAGAGGATGAGCGAGGCATGAGAAAGTGGGTGGAGGAGCCAGTTGGTGTTGGAGTAGAGGAGTTTTGGGTTGTCCTTCTCCAAGATTATCTCGGAGTGGAAGGACGATTTAGCGGAGGTGAGGGAGGAGTAAATTTTGATGTTGTCCAACCAGATTTGAGATGGACCGTTAAATCAGATTTGACCTGTGCCTTGAGGGAGCAGAGGTGGCTTGTGTACCAGGATGACTTGTGTGAGGAGCTAAGAGGGGCAAAAGCATTGAGAGTGGTGGAGGAGTTGTGGAGGAGAATGGCCGAGGAGGATAAGTTGTTTGGGAGGAAGCCCAAAGGGGGAGGAGTTCAGATGACTCCAGGGAAGAAGGAGTGCGGGGAGATTTTTTTCCAGCCGTGATAGGAGATGGAAGTGGGTTAGGTGGCAGTGGGGAGAGGTACTGAGGAGTTAATGGAAATTAAGTAGTGGTCCATGATGGCTTTGTCGGTAAAGGTGCAATCTGAGACACTGAGGTCCCGGGTAATCACCAGGTTCAGTGGGTGGATGTGGATGGCAGAATGGATGTGCGGGGAGGACACTCACACTGTCTGTGCCCAGATCTCCCTGTCCATGATGGCTGAGGTGCTGATGGCCCCGTTCTGGGGGTTGATGGTGAAGAGGCCACTCTGGGTGGAGCCTGCAATCGCGTATGTCACTTGCCCATTTGCTCCCTGATCCTCATCATTGGCCAACACCTGCCCAGTACACAGGGGGTTAAACCCCATAACACACATTGCCCCCCTCTCACACACTCGCAGCGTCAACCCCAACCCTCCCTCCCCCCCATCCACCCACCCCATACACAACCACAGCATCACCGCCAACCCTCCCCCGCCCCGCACACCCAAACCCAACCAGAGACACAGGGGGTTAAACCCCGTAACACACACTGCTCCTCCCTCACACACCGCAGCGTCACCCCCGACCCTCAGCCCCCCACTCCCCCACACATGAACAAACCCTCAACCAACACATACACACGAGGGATTGGGGGAGGGTGGGGGCGTTAAACCCTGTAACACACACTGCCCATCCCTCACACATACCACCACACCCACCTCAACCCTGACACCCATGCCAACCCTCACACACACCCGAACCCTCACATGCACCTTGACCCCAAACCCTAATCCTCACCCCAAACCCCTCACCTCCAACCACCACCTCGCCCCAACCTAACCCTCACCCAACCTCAACAACCATCCCAACCCTCATCCCAATTACCAACCCTCATCCCAATTACCAAACCCCACCCCAACCACCACCCCAATGAACTGCCACCATCAACCCAACCCCTCCCCTTCTCACAACCCCCCACCCTGACCTGTGTGATGGGAGAGCTGTAGCGCTGGGCCTCCCAGATGAAGGCTGTGTAGTGCTGGAGCTGGAAGCGGGGAGAGTTGTCATTGACGTCCTGTAGGTTCAGGCTGACATTTGTGTAGCTGAAGGACAGCGAAGCCTCTGCCTTCACTACCAGGCGCAGCCTCGCCCTCCGCTCATAGTCCAGCCTAGAACCTTCCCGCACCAAGATCTCACCTGGCAACCCAGAGAGAGAGTGTGTGTGAGGCAACAGATTGAAAGACACAGAGAAAAAATGAGAGCAAGAGAGAGCGAGAGAGTGAGTGAGTGTTTGAGACAGGGAGAATGACGAGATTACAGGTAAGAAAATGCAACATGTGATGTGTTAATTAATGTAATGATAAAGTAATAAAGTTAGCAGGCTTACGTTTTCAATCCCCATTATAATGTGATACACAGACACCCTCTGACTCTTCTGTAATAATAATTTGCACTTGCATTTGATATAGCGCTTTATCCCATCATAAAGACGTCGCAAAGCATTTTGCAGAATATACTGTAAAATGAATTGACTGTATATTTTGTGGGCGAAACACGGCAGCCAACTGCGCCACAACCGTTGTGGATTGAGTGAGCACAGTATTATTATTTTGAAGGGATTATTACCCCCAGAAAAGCGATCCGCCAACCGGCTAACAACCGGGTTCCTATTTACTGCTACAGGACTCCACATGGTGCCCCCCACCCACCCCCGTTGTCCCAGTGAGTACCTGTGTTGGGCCGGATGCTGAAGACATTGTCTTCGTTGCCGCTAAAGATGCTGTAGAGGATGCCCCTGGTGGAGCCATCGGGGTACTGCGCCCTGACCCTGGCCACGGTAGTCCCTGCGGACGGTAACACACACACACACGCACCAAGATCAGCCAACTCAGAGCTCATAACCAGAGGCACTGAGCTCACATAACAATCCTTGCCGCTCATAATAATACACGCATTTGATATACAAAATGTCAGTTGCCAGTAGTTATAGTTATGTTTGCTCCCATTGTTGTATGTCTTCCATTGTTGTGTTCCTTTAATCCAAGGTAGCCTAGAGTTGCTAGGTTTTAATAAAGAGCTGTTGTTTCTACCGAATTTACCCTCGAGTCCCTGCAGTATTCCAGACAAAAAAAGGAGTAAGCACTTGGTAGGGTAGTTGTCAACATCGAAGGTCTATTACTGCAAACAGACTCCAATTAGACATTCCAATTACCAGGCACTGACGTTAACTAGGAATACCTGTCTGCGGGTGACTGATTTGGTTGAGTCAAGTTCGAAATAGGGACTCACACCAACAGTTTTAGAAAAGAAGCAGAGGCCACTTAGTACGGACGCGTTAATGAAATTTGCATACACATCAATGGGTGAGAACCGTTGCAGGACCCTGTAAGGGGGATCAACAGTATGGGGTTGGGGGGCAGTGTGAGGGGACAGTGTAGGGGATAGACAGTGTGGGGGGACAGTGTGGGGGCACAGTAAAGAGGGAAAGACAGTATGGGCGGGGGGACAGTGTAGGGGAGGACAGAGAGTGTGGGGGGACAGTGTGAGGGACGGTGTGGGTAGAGGAACAGTTTGTGGGGACAGTGTAGGGTGGACAGTGCAGCTGGGAGGGGGCTGTGGACAGTGTGTGGATGGGCACGTACCTGCCGTTGGGTTCTCGGGGAGTGTGATGTCTGGGCTGCGGCTGAAGCTGATGCCGTGGTGGATCTCCTCCTGGAGGCGGATGATGACGACGCCAGTGGCGGAGCGTGGGGCTGAGCCCTGATCAGTGGCCACCACGAGCAGCGTGCGCTGGGCCCGGCTGAGTGCGGCCAGCGAGCCAAGCAGCCGCACCTCGCCAGTGAATGAGTTGATGCTGAAGCCGGAGAGCGGGCGGGAGAAACGGTAGAAGATGGAGGCATTGGGGCCGGCGTCTCTGTCCTCGGCCCTCATGGTGACGAGCGGCTGGTTGGCCGGGGTATACCGGGACACGGTGAGGAGGAGAGGGTCGGTGAGGAAGGAGGGAGCGTGGTCGTTCACATCGCCGATGTTGACTGTCACACGCGCGGTGGCCGTGCGGGGGGCGGAGGGCGAACAATCCACCGCCCGCACCAGGAAACGATAAGAGGCTCTGGTCTCACGATCCAGCGGTGCAGCTGTGGTTACCCTCCCCCCGTCGTTCACCAGGAACATGCCCAGCGACTCGTTGGTTAGCAGGTACCGCACATGCCCGTTGGAGCCCTCGTCAGGGTCGGTGGCGGTGAGCGCCAGGACCAGTGTGCCCACTGCTGCGTCCTCTGGCACCTCAACCGTGTATGTGTCCTCACCAAACGCAGGTGCATTGTCATTGACGTCCAGCACCCGGACCCTCACTGACAGTGTCCCCGAACGCGGGGGACTACCCCCGTCCATAGCCATGATGGTCAGCGAGTATGAGGGAGTGAGCTCCCGGTCCAGCCCCCGCTGCGTAGCCAGCTCCCCCGTCAGCAGGTCGACGGTAAAGTCCCTGTCCGGGTCTCCCTCTGCCAAACACAAAAGAACGTTACACTGGAGCTCTCTACTCTAACCCCATTCCCCTGCTCTCGCCCCATCATAATCTGTCCTGGTGCTCATTCCCTCACTGGAGCTCTCTACTCTAATCCCATTCCCCTGCTCTCTCCCCAGTGTGGCTGTGTGGTGAAGAAATTACCAGTGATGGTGTAGTGGAGCCTGGCATTGGAGCCGGTATCGAGGTCAATGGCAGGGCTGGTGTGGAGACGGAGCGGGGGCTGGTTCTCGGGGAGCTGGAGGCTGAGCAGATCCGGCTGGAATCTCGGAGCGTTGTCGTTCTCGTCCACCACCGTGACCAGCACACTCGCCGTGGCCAACCGGGGTGGCTCCCCTCCATCCTGCACATACACTGCACACCACAAAACAGTCACTACACCTCACCACAAACAGTCAATACACCACAAAACAGTCAGTACACCTCACCCCAAACAGTCACCTCACCCCAAACAGTCACCTCACCCCAAACAGTCACCTCACCCCAAACAGTCACCTCACCCCAAACAGTCACCTCACCCCAAACAGTCACCTCACCACAAACAGTCACCTCACCACAAACAGTCACTACACCTCACCACGAACAGTTACTACACCTCACCACAATCACTACACCACAAACAATCATGACACCTCACCCCAAACAGTCACCTCACCCCAAACAGTCACTACAACTCACCACAAACAGTCACTACACCACAAACAGTCACTACACCTCATCACAAACAGTCACTACACCTCACCACAAACAGTTACTACACCTCACCACAATCATTACACTACAAACGATCATGACACCTCACCATAAACAGTAACTACACCTCACCACAATCACTACACCACAAACAATCATGACACCTCACCACAAACAGTCACTACACTACAAATAGTCACTACACCTCACCACAAACATTCACTACAGCATACACAGTCAGCACCCCGCAAACAGTCACTACACCCAGGTACCAGTGAAAATGTGCTCCTCTTGCTGCTCCCTGTCCAACGCCCGGCGGGTGTGGATGTCGCCGCTGCTCGGGTGGATGATGAAGGCGTCGCTGGTCACTGCCCCGTACGTCAGCTCCGCGTTAGAACCTAACAGCAAACACACAGCGGGTCAGTCATGTTAATAATAATAATCCTCGCATTTGATTACAGCGCCTTATCAAGTCTTCGAAACGTCTCAAAGCGCTTCACAGAATATACCGTACAGTGAATTGACTGGGTATCATGTGGGTGAAACACGGCAGCCAATTGCGCGCAGAAGTGTCCCACAAACAGTCGTGGATTGAGTGACCAAATTATTTTCATTTATTTTGGAGGAATTATTATGCCCAGGAAAAGCGATCCACCAATCGACTAACAACCGGGTTCCAACTTACTGTGAGGGAAACAGAGGCACGTGTGTGCAGTAAGGAAACTTGATCAACGTTTCGCCCCCTGCCCAGGAATCGAACCCAGGTCCTCTTGCTTGCGAGGCGAGTGCCCTAACCACTGAGCTACAGGACGCATCGCAGCAACACCACCCACCCGTGACAACAGCCCTCGCGCATGGAAACACCCTCACACACAGTCACACAGATAGTCTCTCACACACACTCTCAGTCACACAACACAGTTCCACTCACACACGACCTCTGATAGTAACACACAGCCTCTCACACACTCACACACAGCCTCTGATAGTAACACATAGTCGCACATAGCCTCTCAAACAGTCACACGCAGCCTCTCATAGTCACACGTAGTCACACAGCGGGGGGTTGGGGGGTGGGGGGGAGAGGAGAAGCCGAGGGGGGGAATCAGGGCGGGGGACAGGTGTGTATGGGGGAGGCAGGGAAGGTGGGTGGAGGGCGCTGACAGACAGATGGACCCACCTTGGTCACGGTCGGAAGCGAGCAGACGCAGTATGGATCCCCTGCCGGCTGGTTCTCCAGCACATGGGCTGTATACATACTTTGAGAGAAGGTGGGGGTCTCGTCATTGACATCGAGGACCTGGACCCGGAGCAGCTGTGATGCGGAGCGGGGGGGCGAGCCCTGGTCACTGACCAACACCGTCAGGTTATAGTCCGATTGTGATTCACGGTCCAGGCGCTTAACTATAGACAGCAACCCTGAGAGACAGACAGTCAGACAGAGACAGATGGACAGTCAGACAGACAGACAGTAAGTCAGACAGAGAGTCAATCAGAGAGACATCAAACAGAGAGAGAGAGAGACAGAGACGGACAGTCAGACAGAGACAGACAGTCTGATGTACAGACAGTCAAACAGAGACAGCTAGTCAGACAGACGACAACAACAACAACACAATTACATTTATATAGCGCTTTCATGTCGGGAGGACGTCCCAGGGCGCTGGACAGTCAGAGTTTCGGACACGAGCGGGGAGGTCGGGATCGGGGCGGGTGGAGGGCGGTGGGGGAAGCAGGCTGATTGATAGCACAGGCAAAGAGGAGGGTCTTGAGACAGGTCTTGAAGGTGGCGAGGGAGGGTCAAGGAGAGGGACTGCGGTCAAGAGAGTGGGAGCAGAGTGGCAGAAGGCTCTCCCGCCAATCGTGGGGTGAGCAAGGTGGGGGACATGAAGCAGGCTGGAGCCCACTGAGCGGAAGGAGCGAGCAGGATGATAGGGGATTAGGAGGTCACAGAGGTAGGGGGGAGCAAGACCACTGAGGGCTTTGAAGGTGAGGACCAAGATCTTGAACTGTATCCTCTGTGTGATGGGAAGTCAGTGGAGTCGGACCAGGATGGGGGTGATAGGGTCACGGAACCTGTTGGGGGAGAGGACACGGGGTGCAGAGTTCTGGATAATCTGTAGTCTATGGAGGAAGGAGTTGGGGAGGCCGAGAAGCAGGGAGTTTGCACAGTCAAGCCTGGATGTAATGAAACCATGTATGAGGGTCAGAGTCAGATAGTCCCTTTACACTGGCAACAATTCTACCGAGCTCTCCCCCCACCCCACTCATAGTGCCGTGCCCCTCCCCTCTCCCCTCAGTGACATGCCTGTGTCAGGCTCCAGCTGGAAGGCTTGGCCGGTGTTTCCGTGGCTGAGCCGGTAGCGGAGCTGGCTGTTCTGGCCGAGGTCGGGGTCGGTGGCCACGAGGCGGTGCAGGGCGAAGCGCAGTGGCTGGTCCTCCAACACCGCGACCCGCGGCAGTGAGCGAAACACCGGAGAGTTGTCGTTCTGGTCGGTCACAAAGACCCGGGCGGTGACGGTGGAGGCCAGACGCTGGCTGGTGTTCAGCGCTTGGTCCGTGGCCCTGATCACCAGCAGGAAGCCTGGTGTCAGCTCGCGGTCCACAGGAGCCCGGCACGTCAACACGCCGGACACCGGCTCCAACCGGAAGTAGTCACCGGCCGGCGACTGGCGGAGGATGGAGAAGCGTACGTCACTGTTGGGGCCGGGACCGTCCTGGTCGCTTGCCTGGAAGGTGTAGAGGGAAGTGCCAATGGCGGAGTTCTCGGGGACGATCACGGTCAGCAGGGCCGCGGGGAAGCGGGGAGCGTGCTCATTGCGGTCCAGCACACGCACGTCCACCACGATGACGCGGGTGTGGGCGGTGCCGGGGCCCAGCTCGGTCTCCTCCAGCCGTAGCCGGTAGCTGGGGGCTTCCTCGTAGTCCAGGGTCCGGCCCAGAAACACGGCGCCGCTCGCTCGCTCCACCAGGAACAGCCCCTCGGCATCCTCGCCATCCAGCACCGCGTACGTCACCTCCCCCCCCGGCACCACTGCCCGCGGCCCCACCTGGCCAACCAGCGAGCCCGGCACTGTGCCCTCCACCACCGTAAACAGGACCGTGCTGACTGGGGGCGAAGGGGCCGCAGAGGAGCTCAGCACCTAGCAAGGGGGGAGATCAGTTACCCTCATACGGCAACCCCTCACCGTCATACAGGAACCCCTCACCCTCATACCCCTCACCCTATTACAGTAACCCTAACCCTCATACAGCAGCCACACACCTCACACCCTCATTCAGCAACCCCTCACCTTCATACAGCAACCCTCACCCTTATATAGAGACCCCTCACCCTCACACAGTGACTCCTCACCCTCTTACAGTGACCCTCACCCTCATACTGCAACCTTCACCCTCACTCTCATACAGCAACCTCTTACCCTCACACAGAAACTGCTCACCCTCATACAGCAATCCTCATCCTATTATAGCAGCCCTAACTCTCATATAGCAACCGGTCACCCTCATATAGCAACCACACACCCCCATACAGCAACCACTCACCCTCATACAGCCACAACCTGCAATTATATAGGACATATGTGCATGTGTGGAGCAGGCAGTGTGTATGGGGGGATGTGTATGTGTGTGAGGGTGTTTGGGGTGGGGATGGGGGTGTAGTGTGTTTGTGAGGGTGAGTGAGAGGATGGGGGCGTGAGGTGTGTGTAAGGGTTTGCGTGTGAGGGGGTGTAGTTACCTGGACAGGCAGGGTGCTGGAACTGCTTTATGTGTGTGAGGAGTGGTAACCTTGGCGCCCTGTTCGACCCTCAACTGCCAAATGGACCATCTCCACCTTGCCCTTCCTCCACAACATTGCCCATCTCTGCCACTGTCTCTCACTGCAGGCTGCCAAGACCCTCATTCATTACATCCAGGCTTGACTATGAAAACTCCCTGCTTGTCGGCCTCCCCAACTCCTCCCTCCCCATAGGCTGCAACACCAACAACAACAACAAGATTGCATTTATAGAGCGCCTTTCACGTCGGGAGAACATCCCAAGGCGCTGGACAGTTGGGTCGGGACCCGAGCATTGGGTGGGGGAAATGGTCAGGGTGAGGGGAGGGAAGGGAGGGAGCGAGGAGGGGGTAGAGAGTCGAGAGGGGAGCTGAAGGCACGGTCAAAGAGAAAGGTCTTGAGACCGGCCTTGAAGGAGGAAAGGGAGGAAGCAAGGGGAAGGCACTGGGGGATGGAGTTCCAGAGCCTCGGGGCTGAGAGGCTGAAGGTACGGCCACCGATAGTAGGACGGTTAGGACGGGGAATGTGGAGCAGACCGGAGCCAGAGGAACGGAGGGTACGGGCAGCTAAGTAGGGGAATAGTAGGTCGGAGAGGTAGGAGGGAGCGAGGCCGTGAATGGCCTTGTAGGTGAGGATGAGGATCTTGAATTCGAGCCCTGTCTTCTCCCGCACCAGGCTCAGCGACCCTATCACCCCATCCTCGCCCGACTCCACTGCTTTCCCATCACACAGAGGATACAGTTCAAGATCCTGGTGCTCACCTTCAAAGCCATCCATGGCTTGTTCCCCCCACCTCTACGACCTCCTAACCCCCTACCAACCTGCCCACTCCATCCACTCAGCGGGCTCTGGCCTGCTTCACGTCCCCCGCCTCGCCCGTTGGCTGGCAGGCCTTCAGCCTCTCTGCCACCAACATCTGGAACTCCAACCCACAGTCCCTCTGCCTCACCCTGTCCCTTGCCTCCTTCGAGATCTGTCTTAAGACCCACCTCTTCTACCCCTACGCTCCCCGCCTAATCCCAACCTGATCCCAACCACCAGCTCAGGTGCGGATCCTTGATTGTCCAGCACTTTGTGATGTCCTCCTGACGAAAGGCGTTATTCAAATGTAATTTGTTGTTGTGGTAGTGGTGGAGGGGTGGGTGTAGTGTGTGGGGAGTGGGGTTGTAGTGTGTGGGGCTGGGGGGTGGGTTGGGCGTGTAGCATAGGATGGTGTGGGTGGGTGGGGGGCAGTGGTGGAGGTGTGCAGGATGTGTATGTGGGGGTAGTGGGGGTGGGGGGGTGCTGAGGTTACCTGGACACTCAGGGTGCTGGAGCTGGTGAGTGCTGGCCGCCCCCGGTCTTTGGCTGTGAGGATTAGTTGATACTCGCTGCGCTCTGACTGCCGCAGGGTTGTGACTGTCCTCACCTCCCCCGACACCGGCTCCACAGAGAAACGTTCAGCCCAGGGCCCTGGACAACACAGCACAGGTTACTGTACAAACAGCACAGGACCTTGTACACACAGCCCAGGGTCCCGTATACATAGCCCAGTTTACTGTACACACAGCCCAAGCTACTGAACACACACCACAGGGCTCTGTATATACAGCACAGGCTCCTGTACACAGACACACAAATACACACCATACTGTGTAAAGTTCTGTTCGCCGCAGTCCAAAAAAGGATATTGGAGAAATCGAGAAGATACAGTGGAGGGCAACCAAAATGATTGAGGAATTGGAAGGACTAAGTAAATTGGGCTGGAAAAGAGAAGATTGACAGGTGATATGATTGCTGTCTTTAAGATTCATGACAGTCTGTTGCAACTTGTCCAGAATAGTAAAACCAGAGGACACGGCCTGCGATCGAAGGGGGGTAAATTCAGATCAACAACAACAAGATTCCATTTGTAGAGCGCCTTTCAAGTCGGGAGGACGTCCCAAGGCGCTGGACAGTTGGGTCAGGACCCGAGCAGTGGGGAAATGGTCAGGATGAGGGGAGGGAAGGGAGGGAGACAGGAGGGGGTAGAGAGTCGAGAGGGGAGCTGAAGGCACGGTCAGAGAGAAAGGTCTTGAGACCGGCCTTGAAGGAGGAAAGGGAGGAAGCGACGAAGGCACTGGGGGATGGAGTTCCAGAGCCTCGGGGCTGAGAGGCTGAAAGCCCGGCCACCGATGGTAGAGCGGTTGGGGCGGGGGATGTGGAGCAGACCGGAGCCAGAGAAACGGAGGATACGGGCAGGTACGTGGGGGGATAGTAGATCGGAGAGGGAGGAGGGAGCGAGGCCATGAATGGCCTTGTAGGTGAGGATGAGGATCTTGAATTCGATCCTCTGGGGGATGGGGAGCCAGTGGAGGCGAGCGAGGGTGGGAGTGATGTGGTCCCGAAGCCTGGTGCGGGACAGTACACGAGCTGCAGAGTTCTGAATGACCTGCAGTTTGTGGAGGAAGGTGCCGGGAAGGCCGCGAGGAGAGAGTTCCCATAGTCCAGCCTTGAGGTGATAAAGGCGTGGACCAGAGTTTCAGCAGCGTGAGGGGTGAGGTAGTGCCGTAGCCTGGGATGTTTCGGAGGTGATGGAAGGCGGTGCCAGTTGTGGCGCGGATATGAGGGAGAAAGGACAGCTCAGGGTTGAACAGAACCCCGAGGTTCCTGATGGCTTTGAGAGGTGGAGAGTGCAGCCTTGGATGCTGATGCTGTCAGCGCCTGAGGTGCAGAGGCGCTGACGTGAGCCAATCATGAGGGCCTCAGTTTTACGCACGTTGAGCTAAAGAAAGTTGTCTCTCGTCCAGGACTCAATGTCGGACAGGCAGCTGTCAGGACATCGGTGGTCGTGGAGCTGAGGGTAGAGGAGAAAAGGTAGAGTTGGGTGTCATCCGCATACATGTGGAAGTTAAGCCCATGTTTGCGGATGATGTCACCACAGGGGGAGCATATAGAGGGTGAAGAGGAGGGGACCGAGGACAGAGCCCTGAGGGACACCGCACGAGACAGTGCGGGGGCTGGAGGAAAAGCCGTTTGTGGAAACAAAATGAAGACGGTGGGAGAGATACGACCTAAACCACTCAAGGACAGGGCCTTGAAGGTTGTGGTGGGAGGACACGCGGTAGAGGAGGATAGCGTGGTCGACCGTATCGAATGCTGCCGATAGGTCGAGGAGGCAGAGGGAGCCCTGGTCGCAGAACGAATCTATGCAAACGCTATTTCAGTGAGCGAATAGTGAACCTAAAGCAGGAAATATTGATTCTTTCAAACACAGATTAGATAGTTTTCTTTTAGGGAATAACATTATGGGATATAGTACATAGTGAGTTTGCACGTGTATGCAACCGGCAAGAAGGTGGAAGGCGAACTAGATGGACCTTGGTCTTTCTTCGTCTAGCATTTCTTATGCTCTTATGTACACACAGTGAGCACACATACACAGTACACAAACACACACACACAGTGCACACGCACACACAAGAAGTGGGGGAGGGGGATTGGGGGAGCGGGGGAGGCGAATTGGGAGAAGCGGGGGAGGGGAATTGGGAAGCGGGGTGGGGATGGGGAGAGTGAGGGGTACCTGACAGAGAGTACACCACAGTCCCGTTCTCTCCTTCATCTGGGTCCTTTGCCTGTACAGTGCCCAACACAACACCTGAGGGTTTCCCTTCAGAAACCTGCCGGAGAAACGCAGTCAGACACACAGACAACACATCTACCTGACGTCAACAACAACAACTTGAACTTATATAGCACCCTTCACATGGGGAAGCATCTCGTCCACCTGAAGGCTCAAACCTAGGGTTGTTGTGTGTCAAATGGTGAACGCATGACTATCGTATTGTAGAGTCCTGTAGCTCAGTGGTTCGAACACTCGCCTTGCAAGCGAGAGACCTGGATTTGATTCCCGGGCAGGGCAAAATCTTAGGCAATTTTCTTACTTCACACACAGTACCTAGCAGTAAGTAGGATCCCAGTTGTTAGTCGATTGGCAGATCGCTTTCCGGTGGTAATAATTCCTTTAAAAAAAGTGCTCACTCAATTCATGACTGTTTGTGGGCCACTGCTATGAGCAATTGGCTGTAGCGGTTCGCCCACAAAATAGTCATTACACTTTACAGTATATTCTGTATATTGCACACAGCAGTGTCCTACAAACAGTCATGGATTGGGTGACCAAATTAGTACTTGGGGGATTGTTGAACAGGCCACCGGGAGAGAGAGAAACTCCCTTCTCTTTTCGAATAGTTCCGCGGCAACTTTAACGTCCACCTGAACAGGCAGACGCAACCTGGGTTTAACGACTCAACTGAAGGACAAATGAACATTGGATTCAGATGTTACAGTGAAGAAGTCTGGCAGATGTGGCAGGACACACAACATCTGTACATTTGGAGCAGGAGCCCAGTGTGACTCACACCAAGGTCGGAGCTGAGATGCCTGAACAGCCCAGCATGGGTCACAGCCCAGCTACAATGCTCGCGCCGCACCCATCACTTCCCCCTCACTCCTCCCTCACTCTCCCCCTCACTCACCCCCATCACACACACACCCCTCACTTCCCCTTTATTCACCACCTCACTCTTCCTTTCACTCTCCCCTCTCTCCTTGTCCCATGCCCCACCACCCGATTCCTCACTGTTTGTCTGAGCTATTGTGAAGTGCTTTGAGAATAATAATCCTTGCATTTGATATAGAGCCTCATCATGTCTTCAAGACATAGAAACATTGGAACAGGAGTAGGCCATGCAGTCCCTCAAGCCTGTTCTACCTTTCTATAAGATATGACTGATCTGTACTTCCAACTCCAATTATCTGCCCTTCACCCCATATCCCTCAATACCCTGATCTAACAGTCTTGACAATGTGAATGGATCCAGAATCTACAGGGGGAGAGAGTTCCAGATTTCCACTACCCTTTGGGTGAAAAAAGGGTCTCAAAGTGCTTCAACCTCATATACTGTAAAGTATAGTGACTGTATAATTTGTGGACCAAATGCGGCAGCCAATTTTCGCACAACAGTGTCACACGCACAGTCGTGGATTAAGTGCCAAAATTATTATTATCTTTTTTAAAAGAGATTGTTACTCCTGGAAAAGCGATCTACCAATCAACCAAAACCTGGGTTACTACTTACTGTTAGGTAAAAAGAGGCGTGTGGAGTAAGGAATCTTGCCCAACATTTCGCCCTGCTCCAGAATCAAACTCAGGTCCTCTCGCTTGCATACGAATGCTCCAACCACTAAGCTACAGGACTCCACGATATAGAGCCTTATCACGTCTTTGAGACATCTCAAAGCACTTCACAGAATTAACTGTAAGTTTGTGGGTGAAACGCATTAGCCAATTGTGCACAGTAGTGTCCCACAAATACTCGTGGATTGAATGACCAAATTATTATGATTATTTATTTATTTTGAAGAGATTTTTACCTCTGTAAAAGCAATCTGCCAATTGACTAACAATCGGGCTGGGATTAAGGGTTGGGGGCTGGGGCTGGGGTTGGGGGTTGGGCTGGAGTTGGGGCTGTGGTTGGGTGTTGGGGCTGAGGTCAGGGGTTGGGTCAGCAGGTTGGGGCTGGGGGTTCGGCTGAGGTTTGGGTCGTGCTGAGTGTTGGGGCTGGAGTTGGAGCTGAACTGAAGGTTGAGTCTGGGAATTGGGGCTGAGGGTTGGCTCTGGGAGTTGGGGCTGAGATTGGGCTGGGATGGGGGTTGGGGCTGAGGTTGGGCTGGGTATTGGCTGAGGTTGGGGTGGGGTTTGTGGCTGAGGTTGGGGTTGGGGCTCGGGGTTGGGGTCAGGGTTACGGTCAGGGGCTGGGGTTGGAGGTCACGGTTAGAGTTGAAGTTTGGGTTTGGGGTCAGAGTCTCTCACCTGGAACACCAGCTCGTGCCCAACGATGTTGTGAGCAAACACAGGTGCGTTGTCATTCTCATCCAGGACGGTGACATACACAGTGCCGCTGGCGCTCCGAGGAGGGGTGCCGCCATCTTGGACCACCACTGTCACCTGGTGGGCCGCCTGCTGCTCCCGGTCAAACTTCACCTTGGTGCTGAGCTCTCCTGTCAGGAGTTCACACAATATCACTCACCTGCTCGCTCAACCACTGGAGCTCTCTACTCTAACCCCATTCCCTCCTTTCTGTCTCTCCCCATGTGTATGTGCTGGGGCTCGCACCCCCACTGGAGCTCTCTACTCTAACCCCTTTTCCCTGCTCTCTCTCCCCGTGTGTCTGTGCTGGTCCTCGCTCCCCCACTGGAGTTCTCTAATCCCATTCTCCTGCTCTCTCCTCATCGTATCTGTGCTGGTGCTCGCTTCCCCACTGGAGCTCTCTATTCTTAACCCCATTACTTGCTCTCTCTCTCCCCGCCATGTCTATGCTGGTGCCTGCTGCGTGTGCGGGTACCTGTGTGTGGGTGGATGCGGAGGGGCAGATTGCCAGATACCAGGTGAAATGCTAACCGCCCGTTGTTGCCATGGTCCCGATCGGTCGCCAGGACACGGCCGACTTGGGTGCCCGGTGGCTGGTTCTCACGGACGGTGAAGAAGTAGCGTTCCTCGCCGAGCCGGGGGGGGTTGTCGTTCTCATCAGTGATGGTCACGGTGACCCCGGCGGTGCCCGTCCTGCCACGCTGGCTGCCGGAGGCCTCCACGGTGAGCCGGTACAGTGCCTTGCGCTCACGATCCAGTGCACTCCGCACATACAGCCAGCCCGTGTCGGGGGCAATGCCGAAAGCAGCCGAATCACCGTCAGTGCGGAGGTGGTAGGTGAGGGTGTAGCCGGTGCCCGCTGTACCTGTCCGCTCCGTACCCATGGCGCGCACCTGGAGGAAGCGTGTGCCTGGAGCCGTGCCCTCACGCACCTCCACACGGTACGTTAGCGTGTCAAATGCAGGGGCGTCTCCAGTGCCGTCCCTCACGTGGGCGAGGAGGGTGAAGGTGGCGCTGCGCGGGGGCACACCACAGTCCCTGGCTAGCACCGTGATCTGGTAATGGGACACATGCTGGTAGTCCAGCAATCCGATCAGCCGCACATGCCCAGTGCTGCGCTCGACACTGAAGGTGCCCTCGGCTCCTGAGACTGCCTCGTATCGCAGCTGTCCGTTGGCACCGCTATCGCGGTCGGTGGCCACCAGCGTGTAGATGACGGTGCCCACGGGCGTGCCCTCTGCCAGTAGGATGGCCTCGCTCGGCACCGGGAAGACGGGAGAGTTGTCGTTGATGTCGGCTATGGTGATGGTGACACGGGTGGTGCTGTAGGCTGGCGGAGAGCCGCTCTGAGCCTGCACCACCAATGAGACCCCCGCAGTCTCCTCATGGTCCAGCAACAGCGCAGTCCGCAGCCTCCCAGAGCCATCCACCGCAAAGTAACCGCCGGGGTCACCCCCCGAGATAGAGTAGTGGATGGCGTCAGCCAGGCCTGCAGGGGATAGAGGATCAAATCACACTCACTCACACTCACTCATTCACTCACACTCACTCTCTCTCAGTCTCACTCATTCTCTCACACTCATTCACTCATACGCTCACTCACACTCACTCACAATTACTCATTCACTCACTCTCTCACTCACTTGCTCGCACACTCACTCACACTCAGTCACTCAATTACACTCACACTTGCTCACACTTACACTCACTCACCCTCACTCACACTCAGTCACACACTCATTTGCTCACTCACACACACACTCGCTTACTGCCACTCACTCATTGGAATGAGTGAACAAGAGTGGGGGCTTGCGGGGTTGGGGTGAGGGGGGTTACCTGGGGTATCAAGGGCAGTGGGTGTGGGTATAAGGGATTGAGGGGGAGTGAGTGTGTGTGGTGGGGGTTGATGGGGAGTGTGCAGGGGGTTACCTGGGGATTGAGGACAGTGTGTGATAAGGGTTGAGGCCATGTGTGTGTGGATGTGTGTGGTGGGGTGGGTAGGGGTAGAGAGCTGCGGTTACCTGGGGGTTGTGGGGATGGGGGAGAGGGGATATCTGCATTGGGGTGTTGATTACCTGGGGGGGCGGTTGCAGGTAGTGTGGGGGATGTGGAAGTGGATGGGTGTGGGTGGGGGGGGGTTACCTGGGGGGTTGCGGGCAGACACGGTGCCAATGATGGTGCCGATGGCCACCTCTTCGGACACGGTGAAGAAGTACTGTGTTTGCTGGAAGTGCGGAGGGGAGACCACCCCGGACACCACACTGATATTCACCTCCGCGTTCAGCAGCGAGCTCAGCCCCCCACCATCCCGCGCCGATATCCCCAAACACCACACGCTGTTACCTCGGCCCTGCAGAGAGCCAGCCAGAGACAACAATCCTGCGAGGGGAGAGAGTGAGAGAGAGAGTGAGGTAGTGTGAGTGAGGCACACAGAGAGAGACAGAGACAGACAGAGAGCGAGTGAGAACACAGAGACGGAGAGAGAGAGAGAGAATGAGAGGGACACAGAGAGAGCGAGAGAAAGAATCGGAGACAGAGAGAGAGACAGAATGAGAGAGAGGGATACAGGGTGACAGAGCGTGAGAGAAACAACGAGAGAGAGAGGAGAGAGAGAGTGAGACACAGTGTGTGTTAGAGAGAATGAATAAGACAGAGAGAGAAAGAGACAGAATGAGAAGCAGATACAGAGTGACACAGAGAGATAGGGTGAGATAGAATGTGACAGAGAGAATGAGGGAGACGGAGAAAGTGAGAGAGAGTAAGGAAGAGTAATAGGCATTGTGAGAATGAGGGGCAAAGAGTGAGAGACAGACAAAGAAAGAGTGAAAGACAGAGAGAGACAGAGAGAGAAAGAAAGAAAAAGAGAATGAGTGAGAGTCAGCCAGAGAGTGAGAGACAGAGAGAAAGAAAGTCATAGTGAGAGACAAGGAATGAAGGATAGACACAAACAGAAAGAAAAACATCGAATGAGAGACAGGGAGAGGTCAGTTGTAACCAGGTGCCAATTCAACATAGAATCATAGAATTATACAGCACAGAAGGAGGCTATTCGGCCCATCGTGTCTATGCCAGCTCTTTTGAAAGAGCTATCCAATTCAATTCCACTCCTTCCCCCTCTCCCCCCATAGCTCTGAAACTTGTCCTCCCCAGCATCACTGCCGTTTAATAATAATAACAATAATCTCACATTTCTACCCATCAGGAGGACGTCTCAAAGTGCTTCCAAGGATTGATGGTAAGATGCTTGACTGTTTATTTGTGGGCGAATGTGGAAGCCAGTTTATGCACAACAACAGCTCCACAAACAGACAGGAAATGAAGGAGCGATTTTATCTCATGTCAGATACACACAGAAACCCATCACCATGATCAGCCGGTGTCTGACACACGCAGAAACCCATCACCTTGATCAGCCGGTGTCTGACACAGACAGAAACCCATCACCATGATCAGCCGGTGTCTGACACACACGAAAACCATCACCGTGATCAGTCGGGTGTCTGACACACAAATCAGGCTGAGTCCCACATGTTCGTCACCTATACATGGAATCCTCCCTGTGTCTGGAAGGGAATGCACACCCTCTCCTTGGAGGGTGCACTCTACGAACCTAATTCTGGAGAGTATTAGACACAGGTTGGTGAGAGCCAAGGCCACAAGGTTTGCAAGAGAGCATTCAGTGTACGTGTGGGTTTCCTACCAACCTGCTCGCTCCCTCCAGACTCCGGCCTGCTCCATATCTCCCGCCCGACCCGCCCTACCATCGGTGGCCGGGTTTTCAGCCGCTCGGCCCCCACGCTCTGGTACTCCATCCCACGGTCCCTCCACTTTGCTTCCTCCCTCGCCTCCTTCAAGGCCTCTCTCTCTGCCCCATTCTCTCTCTTCTGCCCCATTCTCTCTCTTCTGCCCCATTCTCTCACTCTCTCTGCCCCATTCTCTCTGCCCCATTCTCTCTCTCTCTGCCCCATTCTCTCTCTCTCTCTGTCCCATCTCTCTCTCTCTGCCCCATTCTCTCACTCTCTCTGCCTCATTCTCTCACTCTCTCTCTGCCCCATTCTCTCTCTCTGCCCCATTCTCTCACTCTCTCTGCCCCATTCTCTCACTCTCTCTGCCCCATTCTCTCTGCCCCATTCTCTCACTCTCTTTGCCCCATTCTCTCACTCTCTCTGCCCCATTCTCTCACTCTCTGCCCCATTCTCTCACTCTCTGCTCCATTTTCTCTCTCTCTCTGCCCCATTCTCTCACTCTCTCTGCCCTACTCTCTCTGCCCCATTCTCTCACTCTCTCTGCCCCATTTTCTCTCTCTCTGTCCCATTCTCTCTCTCTCTGCCACATTTTCTCTCTCTGCCCCCTTCTCTCTCTGTATTCTTTCTCTCTCTCCCTCTCTCTGCCCATTCTCTCTCTCCATTCTTTCTCTCTCTCGCTCCATTCTTTCTCTCTTTCTGCCCCATTCTCTCTCTCTCTCTCTCTCTGTGTGTGGATCAAACTCACCCTCGATCCTTCGCCCAGGTTTCCTCTTCACTCCCGTCTCCCGGTGTCTGTGTCCCGATGTCTGGTGTCTGTGTCCCGGTGTCTGTGTCCCGGTGTCTGGTGTCTGTGTCCCGGTGTCTGTGTCCCGGTGTCTGGTGTCTGTGTCCCGGTGTCTGTGTCCCGGTGTCTGGTGTCTGTGTCCCGGTGTCTGGTGTCTGTGTCCCGGTGTCTGGTGTCTGTGTCCCGGTGTCTGGTGTCTGTGTCCCGGTGTCTGGTGTCTGTGTCCCGGTGTCTGGTGTCTGTGTCCCGGTGTCTGGTGTCTGTGTCCCGGTGTCTGGTGTCTGTGTCCCGGTGTCTGGTGTCTGTGTCCCGGTGTCTGGTGTCTGTGTCCCGGTGTCTGGTGTCTGTGTCCCGGTGTCTGGTGTCTGTGTCCCGGTGTCTGTGTTCCGCTACATAGCACCGGGAGTGGGTGGAGGACGCAGATTGCGGCTCCGGGACATCCCGACTCCGGGACACGATCAGCGACACAAACCGGAGCTCAGATCCCGATCCCGATCCTCCCTCTCTCCCTCCTCTCTTTCTTCTCTCCCTCTCTCCCTCCTCTCTTTCTTCTCTCCCTCTCTCCCTCCTCTCTTTCTTCTCTCCCTCTCTCCCTCCTCTCTTTCTTCTCTCCCTCTCTCCCTCCTCTCTTTCTTCTCTCCCTCTCTCACTCCCTCCCTCTCTCTCTCTCTTCCCTGCTTTCTCTCTTTCTTTTCTTCCCTCTTTCTTCTCTCCCTCTTTCTTCTCTCCCTTTCTTCTCTCCCTCTCTCCCCCTTTCCCTCTCTCCCTATTTCTTCTCTCCCTCTCTCCCTATTTCTTCTCTCCCTCTCCCCCTATTTCTTCTCTCTCTCCCCCTTTCCCTTTCTATTCTTTCTTCTCTCCCACTCTCTCTTTTCTTCGCTCCTTTTTCTTCCTTTCACCCTCTTGCTCCCCCCGTTGGCTCTCCCCCCCTATTCTCCCCCCTATTCTCCCCCCTCTTCTCTTCCCCCTCTCTCCCTCTCTCTCTCTCTATCCTCTTTGTTTCTTTCCTCTTTGTTTCTTGTTTTTTTCTTGTCCCCCACAGCTAATCCCTCTCTGTCTCTCTCACGACCACCCTCCCCCCTCCCGTCCTTGTCTCACCCCCAAACCCCCACCTCTCACTCCCCTTGTGTCTCCCCCCCTCCCCTTGTGTCCCCCCCCCTTATGTCTCCCCCTCCCTTTCTGTCTCTTCCCCTCCCTGTCTCTCTCTCTCTCTCTCTCTCTGTCCCCCCCCCCCCCCCCCACCCCCCGGTCAATCACTCTCCCCCTTTTCTCTCTTACCCCCTCCCCCCCCCTCTCTCTCTCCCTCTCTCACTACCCTCTCTCTCGCTCCCCTTCCTCCCGTCTCTCTCTTTCTCTCTCCCCCCTCCCTCTCCCCAATCCCTATGGCTCTCTCTTTCTCTCCCTCTTTCCCTCTCTCTCACTCCTCTCTCTTTCTCTCTCTCACTCCTTTCTCTCTCTCTCTCTCTCTCTCGCTCCCCCTTCCCTCTCCCCAATCCCTATGGCTCTCTCTTTCTCTCTCTCTCTCTCTCCCCCCCTCTCTCTCTCTCTCTCTCTCACTCCTCTCTCTCTCTCTCGCTCTGTGTGAGTGTGAGCCTGAGCCCCGCGGTGTGGGTGAGTGAGTGAGTGAGTGTGAGTGAGTGAGTGTGAGTGAGTGAGTGAGTGAGTGTGAGGTTGGCAGCTCAGGAGTGAGCGAGACTCGCACTGCAAACCCGTTACACACTGTATCCCAATTCCACGCACAACACACACACAACACAGACATCAGTGGCAGCACAAACACATGACCTGCTCTGTGGCACCGTTACTTAACCCTCTCAGGTTTGGCCCCAACCTGAGATTTATTGGGGATTTATTTGGGGGGGCGCGGTGGGGTGGGGGGTGTCTGAGCACGTGTGCGAGCGTGAGCCGAATGAGTGTGAGTGTGAGTGTGAAAGTTCCGCTGATGTTTGCGTGTGCGTGTGTGGGTGGGTGTGTGTGGGTGGGTGGGTGGGTGTGTGTGGGTGGGGCGCGGTGGCGTGTGTGTTGGCTCCTTGGGTGCCAGCCCCACATTTGTGCCCTGTTCGGACGGATGTTGAAGCTCCCTCGCAGCGCTGTCGGGAAGAGAGTTTCTTTCTCTCTCTCTCTCTCTCCCAAGCGTCCTGGCCGACATTCCCCAGAGTTACACTCGCCTGTGCGGATGTCGTAGAGTCCTGTAGCTCAGCGGGTTAGAGGGCTCGGCTCGCGAGCGAGAGGACCCGGGTTTGATCCCCGGGCAGGGCAAAACGTTGCACAAGTTTTCTTACTAGACACACACGCGCGCCTCTGTTTACCCAGCAGTACGTAGGAACCCGGTTGTTAGTCGATTGGCAGATGGCTTTTCTGGGCGTAATAATCCATTCAAAAAAATAATAATAATAAAGAAACAACATAAAGTGACATAAAGTTGTCACTCAATCCTTGTGGGACACCGCCGTGCGCAATTGGCTGCGGTGTCTTGCCCACAAAATACACAGTCGCTACACTTTACAGTGTATCCTGTGAAGCGCTTTGAGACGTCTCGAAGACGTGATAAGGCGCTGTATCAAATGCGAACATTATTATTATTATTATTGGCTGTGACCTGATGCTGTCTGACACCCGCCACCTCCCCTCTCAGGGGCAGCCTTTGACGCCATCTACTGGCCTCCATAAGCCACGTCGAGACTGCAATCCTCATCCTGGGGCCACCGCACTGAAGATATCACAAGGTCAGAAGATGAGTCTGGATGAAGAAGATCCTTCAGCACATCTGATTTTACCCCCGCGGAACACCGAGCCAAAGCCTCCCCCCCCACCTCCCCCATCACAGGTTGCATGTCTATAACGCCCTT